CGACGACAATCACCAGTCCTGAGTGTCTTTTCCTTCCTCTGGAAAAAGTCAGAGAAAAGCTCTACCGTTGATAGCTGTCTGCTACGCAATTCGTTTGCGACGGAAAGCCCATGATTTCATAACGTTTCATGTGGCTCTCTTTAAAAAAAAAACAACAAAGCAAAAGCCAAGTGATAGTTGGTAAAATTTTTTCGCAATATTCCGTACTCCACCTTATGATTTTAGTGTGATACCTCGTGCCCTTTTTGATTCTGTATTCGGCTTGATTGTTGATGACATTGGTAAATGCAGGCAATATGAGGTCGTGGCTTTGCTTTGCAAACTAGGGCATTAATGTTAAGGTTCAATACAGTATAGCTTTGGGCTATTATATTTGGGTTATTTCTATATCCTAAAGACAAAGTCGAAAATGGTGGGGCGATGAATCGGACAGTTACGCCAGAGTATTTGGATTTTTCATTGGATTCAAATTACCCTTCTCATCTAATAGGCGATAAACGTAGCAATATATAGCATAGCACGTTTCTGTTATTCTATTTTTACGGAAAACTGCCATTATTTCTTCTTTTACTCCTCATGACTACATTCAACTACGGAATTCAGGTGAATTACAGACCAACTCCACTTGCATGTTCATAGTGTTAAATGTCCATAGTAGCTGCTGTGCATAACCCACTAGAAACATTTATTGAACAGGAACTATAAGATGTGATGTAAATATGTTGCTGCTGTCACCCTCATCTGGGGTATCAGGGCCATGGACTGAGGACCCAGATTAATGATACCCGATGCTTTGGCTTTTCAGAATGATTTAAGCGATGTTGTTTGCTGCGGCCAAGGCCATGTTCATCGTCGCAAGCAAGTCTGACTCAAGCAGCTACCTTAGGGTGTGTTGTGGGCCTCTGACGTGTCTGTGGCCAACTTTGCTGAGGGGAACTGTCTTGGTTAAGTCGCCGTTCTCTCTGCGAATGTCTCTGACTTTTTCAGACAGTATTATCAGGCATTTCTCTGCTCTTTTTATTCTTTATTCGACGAAACCATCGCACTTTCAGTATGCACTGCAGGCAGCGATGCTGAAACATGTCCAGAATTGTTTCATGACGCTTTAAAAGGCTTAAATACGAGAGAAGCATCAAAGTAAACATTTGTTTATGGAATAAAAAATTTACTTTGCTTCTTTGGTTTTTTGTTCATGTCTGAGAGCATTCGTGTTTGTTGTCAGGCGGAATGGCGGAGTATTGCGGCCATTGTGATTCGTCGCTGATTCCCGAACCGAGTGATTTGAGCACAATTTTGAAAGCTTCTGATATCGTGGGAGAGGAAAATACTTTATAGAATATATTGAAAGACATCGTGAACAACATTCGTTATTTTCAGGTTATTTTCGTGCTCAACCTCAGCGTTGCAATGTCCTTTAGAGTAATACCAATGGCAGTGATTATCATTGTTCATTTACTACAAAATGCCCAATATGACCGAGATCTTCCGGTATTGCCTTGAAAGAGCAGTTGCTTGATTTATTTAAGTAACGGACAACGAATTCTACATTTCAATAAATGACAAAAATTAATGAAAAAATAAATAGTAATATCAATAAGCAGTGACAAGAATAAATAAAACAAATCTACTGAGTATAATCATTGAATACCGTGACGCTCCTGTAAATCTGTCAAATGGCATCAGTTCTTAAAACTATTCGCTGAGACCAGGTTATCATCCGAGTTGCGTTGGCTTGCTAGTTTTTTCAACTTTAAGGTTGCGCTGCACTCACTACATCGTCCAACGACGTGAAAAACTTTGAAATGCTATTTGATACCTGTTTGCTTCCATTTTGCTAAAGATATATGCAGGAACTATGTCTGCAGTCAAACTATCTGAATAGTTCAATCAAGTGCACAGTTTTCCGCGGAGATATGCTTTCGCCTTCGCTGTATAATATTGTTTTCGATTTTCTTTACCGAAGCACTGCTGGGCCTGGCAAAGAAGAAGGTCATTTTCAATAGGGAAGGCGAAGTTCAAGATATCCGACTAAATACATTGCTCGCCTGTAGTATTTACTTGGTATTGCCTTGGTGAGTAGTAGAGAAAGCAGGCTTTGTCATTTGATGACTTCTGAGTGCAGCACAGCTGCGAAAGCCAACATCTTCCTTAACGCCCGGAAGTCAAAAGTTATGAGGAACCCATCCGTCTGATTTGACTAACAACTTCAACAGGAAGGTGAAGCCCTTCAAAATGTTGACCAATTTAAGTTTCTCAACACCATCATCTCAAGCGATGGCACTCGTCAGTCACAGTTTATGGAAAGATCCCTCTACCTCCGAGTGTCTTCGGAAATCTCTCCTAGATTTAGGCTGAATAAAACGTTATTCTTCCGACAAAAATCTACCTTCGTCTTGCCTTTGTCACGCAGGTGCTGTTGCATGTCACTGAAACGGTTGTTCTATCGAAGGAGCAAGAACGACGGTTAAACTGCGTACATCAGCGTTGACTGCAACACGCGTGAGGATTAAATAGCAGGAACTTATAAGTAATGACTCTATTCTACTAAGGGCATATGTAGATGTGGAGAATAATAAAAAGTGATTGGCCCTGTTAGACAAACTAGTTGAGCATATTTATTGATTCAAGCTGGGAATCGTCTGGTGACAGAAACATGGCATACGTCGATTAGGAGGTCAGCGTGCAAGATAGAGGAG